TACAGCGGCCGCGGGTAACGGGGCGGTAAAACCGTTTTGCTTTTCGCACCCCCAAGCAAAACTCCCCGCCGGTACCGAATGGGTACACCAAATCACGTCTGGTTTGGCGAACGCCCCCCCCCCCCCCCCTCATTCCCTATTGCACTCACTTCTAGCCTTGTTCGACTGGGTCACGACCATCACGTGCGTGATCGCGGTTCTGACGGGGCTGAACATGACCATCTTTCTGTTGGTAATCTGGCAGCGGGCCCTGCCAGCGCTGCCCATCTCCATTGCCTTTGGTCTTCTCTTCTACTTTGTTGCCAGCATCACCGTGGTGCCTTTCCTCAACGAGCAGCTCAACCTGCCCGCCCGCATCGCTGTCGCCCAGGACGCCGCGTCAGCCCTGTGGGTCGGAAAGAGCGGTGGCGGCGGCATGGTCTATATCTGATGTGGACCTCTGGGTGGGAGATGCTCCGCCCCCCCTCCCCCCTGTTTTTTTTCTTAAAAGAAATACTTCCCGAAAACCCGCATTTTGGACCGAAGTGATGTCGGAAAACGATACTTCGACTGCAATGTGAGAATGTTGTCCTGCGCTCCGCCGCCTTATATGCCCCCCTTTGGCCTTAACTGGCGACCCCTGCACGGGCTTAAGGGGGCTGCCACGACCACAGTCTGGGTTAGTGTCATCAGTGGCCCACCACTGCTTCCAATTGCCCTGCTTGTTGATGTACAAAAATTTGAGCGCTCATTGTTACAAATAAGTTGTGTATTGGGAGTACACCCAGCAGGGGAAGAGGAGTAGTTTATTTCCTCCGTTCATTGAGGGCTGTAGGCTTTTCTACCACCTTAAGGCGATGATGATATATCCAGGTCAAACTCTGAGATGACAGTTGGGAGCCTCCTTCCAACCTGGAAACCGCCACGAATCTTTTGATTCCGGATACCCCATCTCACGAGTTTTTAAGCTTCCCTGACCGTGGTCAAAAACAGAACTTGACAAATGGTTTGGCCCACAAAAGCCAGAGGCCCAGAATGGGAAATCAGCAAAAGAGTCTAGAACATGCCTTCTGCATATCACCAAGTTAATTTTGGCTCTAGTTTTCTATTAAAAATATGTAACCTCAATGCTTTCAAGCCTGGCTAGCTCAATCGGTAGAGCGTGTGACTCTTAATCACAAGGTTGTGGGTTCGACCCCCACGTTGGGCGTGTTTAATTTTTGTTAATGATTAGAATAATCCCTCGCGGGATAATCGCTCAAGCTCATTCGCGTGATAACGGCCTGTTGTTAAATGCCAAGATGTAAGACTATGTTAATCGTCAAAAAGAGACCGTTCTCTTGATTGGAGGATGGGCGGGCCACTTATGACAATAACCGCTCCAGAGTAAGCGGATTTGTTCTGAAGGCAGAAGTATGAACAGCCATTAAGTCTACCGTTATGTGACACGCTTGAAGGCATGGTCAGCGCCTAGCTTAGTCGCTGACAGGATGTCAGGAGGGAGATACGTACGTGGCAATACGGAAGGAAAACCCACAAGTAATTTCACTAAGAAATACAATGAAATATAATGAGCCACTCGTCATCCGCTTCGCCTCCAAAACATGTCCGGCCACGCAAAAAGGGCAATCGGGTCTGTGCTGGCGGCGAAATTAGTACGTCAGAACTTGAGCTTTCAGAGAAAGAGCGGCGCATTGTGAAATGGAAGATTCCTGGACCAGTGAGTGACAAGCCGGTTAGAGGAGCAGTCCTTATTATGCCAGGGGTTGTCTGCCGTCCATGGCGACACGATCAACACGGCCAGCTCGGGACCGGCAGAGAGGTGGAGATGCAGCGTCGGCTGATTCCTGACGAGGGAGCCCCCTTGACCATGAACCGGTCATGCTTGTCGCAAATGGCTTGGGTCAAATTTGATGGGCTTGTGAAGCATGTGGCCACATTTTGCATGCACATGGGGGACACGGATGTGGCACACGCTGGTCTCAAACACACACACACACACACACACACTCTCTCTCTCTCTCTCTCTGTCTGTATCTCCTTCTCTACCCCTCATTTTCTCTGTCTTGCTCACCCACTTACTTCCTCTCTCCCTCTTTCTCTCTGCTGAATCCCGTGTGGCGGTGCTCCAGCTTCTGTGGGTGGCTTGGCACGCATGAATGAGGCTTTGCAGTGCGTGCCGTGTAGCGGGGGCGCAAGGGCGGGCGGACAGGGGGGCCTGCCTGCCAATGCCAGCATACTGGCAGACTACGGACGCGCCGCAGCGAGGGAGATGGTAGGCGCATGGCACGCACGCGTCACAGCACAGCCTGCCAGCCACCCAGCCGGGTCGACGCGTATAAATACCAGCTACTAGCAAGGAGTGCCTACCCATACCATCGCCCTTGATTGACATCGTTTCAAGCTTGCTCGTCGCTCTCGTCCTCGGTTTTCTCGCTCACTTCGGATCCCTTTCGCCCATCCCCCCGTCCGCCCATCTACAACTATGCTTGCTGCCGCTGCTCTCACCGTCTTGCTCGCCGTCGCCGGCACCACCGCTGCCCCTCACCCGCACGCGCGCCGGGACTCAACCTCGGTCAGCTACGACCTCACCTATGACAACGCCGGGCTCTCACTGAACTCCGTGTCGTGCTCGGACGGCGTGAACGGCCTCGTTTCAAAGTACCCCACCCTCGGCGACGTGCCAGGCTATCCCGCCGCCTCCCCCTACGTGTCCTGGAACTCGCCAAACTGTGGTCTCTGCTATGAGCTCCAGTACGGAGGAAACACCATCTACATCACCGCCGTGGACAGCAGCAGCGGCGGTTTCGTCATTGGAGAGAACGCCATGAACGCTTTGACTGGAGGACAGGCCGTTGACCTCGGAAGGGTCGAAGCTACCCTCACCCCGGCAGACGCGTCTGCGTGCCTGGCACAGAGCAAATAATTACGCGAACTTTTGCCATCGTGGTTCCTTTTTTCGGTCTCTTTATTCCTGCCTCCGTCTGTCTGTGACAGTCTCTGCCCATGGCCTCGTTTTGCCCCTTTTCATCCTCCCTTGTTTCAGTTTCACTCTCATCCAAGAAACTTCTCAACATGAGTAAGCAAAGCTTTCAATTGTGTGTGTTCGTAGAGCTGCAAACTGAAGTGTTCAACTCATTGTGGTAGACCACTTTGTGGGACTGTGATTCACCCGTGGTGGACCGTTTTGAGCCTGTGAACCACCATGAAGTTACCAAACTACTAACTTTCCAACCGCCTTTGCCAACAAACAACCGAATGTGAGGCAAAGAAAAGCGCATGAAAAGGGGGGTGGGGGGATATATGGTGTATGCTAAGGAGAGTGATTAGAATCAAAGCGTTGGGGGTTGCGATGAAAATGAAAATGCGACATTTGGACGGGGGAAAGGGAAAAGGCTGGCAGGGCGGCGGCAGGAAGAGGGAGAAGCTCACGGCCTTCTTCTTTCCCCATTATCAGTCTTTGTCAGAGATTAACCACCTTTAAAAGATTCTGATACAAATAAATGGGGGAATGAAGGGAGGAGGGAGTGGAAAGATAATGATGGGATTGGAGAATAAGAAACTGGATCCAAAACGGCGAGATTGAACACAGAAGAGAAAAGAAATGATAGGAATAACAACTGGGAGAGAGATTATGTGTATCTGTCCGAGTGTTCGGGGGAGGGGGGCGTGCGTGGGTACGTTTGAGTGTGACTGGGTGACTTGACTGAGAGACTGCGTAAGACTGAGCCTAGAAAACGCCACCACATCGCGCGAGCCAGCTGCTTCTTGGTCGCCATGGTAGTGTAAAGGATGCACAGTCAGTTAACAAAGATGGCTGCGGAAGTAGAGGACTGCGCAGAGACCGGTGGCGCTGGGGCAGCGGCAGCACAGGCGGCGCATTGAGACAACGTCTGTGCTTGATCAATCGTTGGCTGACAAGGAGTGTATTGCTGTGGCGCTGACACGCGCCGCCGCGATCTCCGTCGTCCCTGTGACCGCAATGCAGGAAGTCACCATCAAGGTCCGTAGCACGGGGAATGCAAGGGGGGAGGGGAGAGAAGGGA